GACTTTCCTAAGAATTTTGTTCCTAAAGCACCGGCCCCTCTGTTTCACAAACACATCTGCGGTTGTTGAATTCTTACCCTTGCCGACTGACCCACTTTGCTCTGAAATGAATTTGTTATGTCGGCATGCCTAGCTGTTTATATAATGAGATGTGTGACTGTTTCGGCTGGGTGCGTGTGTGAAAGCCACTTGTGGCTCTGTCTCATGACCCCTCTGTGTGAGAGCGTAGAAAGAAACCCTGATTTAGGAGAGAAAGCAGCAACAGCAGATGCTTTAAAAGGCATCTGAGGCTGAGCTTGCCTCCTCTTTAAGCCTTCTAGTTAGATCTCCCTTAGGCCTCAGACATGGCAGCCTTGATGGTCCCACCTATTTTCCTATGCTGAAAGAGCATTCATATTCCCTGTTGAAACGAAATAAATTGAGGGTTTTGGGGTGGGTGGGTGTTTTTACATGGTGCTTTGTATGTTTACAATGGGCTATTATTTTATTTCTTAAAGAAAGCATTGTGTTTGTCTGTTTTCTCAAAAACCTTGACATACAGGAACAATAACACAGCTAAAGAAGGTCGTCATTCTTGTGAAAATTTTGAAGGGTCTATAAACAGAACTATATGTTCTCTGCATGAGGCGCAAATTGAGAGGGCTGTCAGCAACCGTTCATCCGGATTATAATTGACGCCTAAAACAAATTAGGTTTGAGAGAAAGCGATCATCACCCTAAGAGGGGAGCCGCTTCAGTTGAGGTTCTGCTTTACGATTGACTCACCTGTATTGGAAGAAGTACAAGGGGAGTACAACTCTGTTACTCTCATGTGATATTTCAGTGGCTTTTGATATCACTGAAAATGGTACCCATGGTGAGGGGAGAGAGATTCTGTGTTGGCCAGCAGGTAATGGCTTTTCCCACCTGCCTTGCCCCACCTCCAGCCACAGGAGCCTTCATAGGGGAGCTCTTTCCAGAGGAAGAACTATGAGGAGAGAGACTCTTTTGGTCATCAGGCAGGGGTTGGTTCCACCTGTACTGCCCACCTCCAGTTTTAAGGACCTTCAGGAGGGAGTTGACACAGGTATATTATGTGGATGTGTATTTTAATGAGCTGAACAGAGTGAATTTTATGAGTTATGAGGGTGTATGAGTGCTTAGTTTACCTTTTGGTTGTTTATGTTGTTAATATTGTCTTATAGATTATAAATGCTGTATTGATTTGTTGATCACGGAATATGACTTTGCTTTAATTGCGATGTTTAGCTTATTTTTCCATTGTTGCTTTGCTAACAGTGTTTTATAGATTGTTAATTGTTTCACGGATGATCAGTTAATTATTCTATATGATTTGTGCTGTATTTGTAATGTTCTATCATGTCATTGCTATTTATTGTTTGTAAGCTGCTTTGGGATTTGTTAGGATGAAAAGCAGCACAGAAATAAATCAAATCTTATCTTCCTAGATTACTTGTGTGTGAGGGGGTAGTGCTGGTACTTTAGTACAGTGGTTCTGTTCGTGGTTCTCTTCCTACCTGTACAGTTGAGCCCAGACAGTAGCATTCCACAAGATATTCCCATGCTAGATTCCTCTGTGCCATTAGATAAAGGTTTTTTTTTAACGTGCATCTAGGTAGCTTGTGGAATTGGCTTCATTTGTTCTCATATCCAAGCATTTGTTGAATCCAAGCAAAACAGTACAAAAATGTGTTGTTGCACATGGGTGGTTGTTGGTTTTTTTAAATAAAAAAAAACTAAATAAACACACTCCCATGTTGTCGAAGTTATTCATCAATGTCTCAGTTTCTGCTTCAAAATGGCATATGGGGCTTAGCTGTGTTTCTAACATTGAAGAATGAATGATTGGATAAGGAAGAATGTTGGCCCAATGAAGAATGGCTCTATCCTGTTTTATAGTGCTTAATTGCACGGAGCACCAAAGATGCACAAAAACTTTGAGGGAAGGTTTAGGAAAAGAAAAACCAGGGGGCTTACTATCTAAATCACTATTTACAATAAACAAAAGAGAAAATAGCATAGGTGATTGATCACAAATAGCCAGGCTGTCTAAACAGGATTTCCAGGAAAGTGACTGGCAGAAAAGGGATCACACAGGCAGATGTAATCAGTATAAACAACTGATTTTATCACTATAAACATCCCTCAAACAGAACCTCTGTACATTTGTTGCTGTTTGAAAACCACATTAATCCATATTATAATTAAGGAACAAGAAGGTGTGCGTATAATCCTTTGCCTCTGGTGCTGGAAACCAACCTTTCATTTGTTGTTTAGCCCCAAACTATAAAGCAAAGGACAAGATATCTGGTGGCTTAAAATGCTATGTTAGTGGAAGACGTTTTTGAATGCTCATTAGCTCAGCCTTTGCCAAACTGGTGTCCTCCAGATGTTTTGGAATACAACTCCCATCAGGTTGGCAAAGGCTGAATTAACACTTTGATCCTGCATATAGATAAGAGATTTGGCAGCACAGACCCATGCATGGCATTGAGAAGTAAACTCCACTGAAATCAATACTGCTTAATTCCACATAATGAGATACTTAAAGCTGCTTTAGTCCTCTTGGAATCCACGGGACCCGAGTAAGTCTTAAACTATAACATCCCATTTATTTCAATGTGATTTAAGCATGACAAACTTCCTGGCTTACCCCCAACAGGTTGAGGAGAGGAACTGGCACTATTGCCAATAAAACTTGCATGTGCATAAGTGAGCGCTGAATTGAAGAAGTCATCTGTAGCAATAACCCTTTTATCTAATGACACTGGGGAATCAAGGGTGGGAACACCTTGTGGAATGACCAGGCTTTCAGCTAAATGCCTTGCTGCAGGCGTGGATAATAATTAAAAATGTTTTCCCCTAAACATTGATCTTTCAATTTTCAATTAGATCTCCCCATTACATTTCACTTATACCTGGTGTTTATTAAAATAACATGTAGCGCCAATGTTATACAAGCAAATAGATCAAGTACCTCTTAAAACTGAATCCATGACCTAGCATGAAGATATTGAGGCCCAAACTCACTAAGGGCAAACAGATAAAATGTAAGAACTTGTATTTTTTAGTATGGTCAACAATACCATAAGAAGATCTGAGTGTTGGAAATAGATATCATACCCTTTCAGAAATCTGCATCGTTCAGTTTTCATCCTTGTCAAAAAAAATTTTAGGGGGCGGGTAATCCAAATTTATTTTTTTTAACCCACAGATTGTAAAAATAAATTTCATCTTATTTATTCTAACCTTGTGAAGTTGACTGCTTATGCAGGTATTTTTGGGAAAGTATCCTCTAGCATCTCCATGGGGAAACCCAAGTTATAACCTTTTATCCTGGATTTTCTAGAAGACACACGATGGTTCTGAAGAACTATTTCTGTATTAACTTCAATCGCATTCAAAATGTTCAGGCTCCACAATTTGCTTTGCAAATGTTTTAATTGCTGGGTCCATCAAATGGCCACCCTTGCCACATGAAAAGCTTAAAACTGCATGCAGTTTTAGGAATCCTTAATTTGAATGTAGTCTGTAATTTGAGGGGTGGGGAGGTCAGCTTTCCTACCCATTTGATAAATCGGCATAATAAGACTAAATTCCTGCTCCAGCCTGTTTACTTTGTGCCAAGCATGGATTTATGCCCTCTGCATGAGAAGCAGTCATTGAACAAAACCTGAAAATACAAATACAAATCCTATTCTTTAATTCTTAAACCTATTCTTAAAAAGCAGAGACATCACCTTGCCAACAAAGGTCCGTATAGTTAAAGCTATGGTCTTCCCTGTAGTGATGTATGGAAGTGAGAGCTGGACCATAAAGAAGGCTGATCGCTTTTGAATTGATGCTTTTGAATTATGGTGCTGGAGGAGACTCTTGAGAGTCCCCTGGACTGCAAGAAGATCAAACCTCTCCATTCTTAAGGAAATCAGCCCTAAGTGCTCACTGGAAGGATAGATCCTGAAGCTGAGGCTCCAATACTTTGGCCACCTCATGAGAAGAGAAGACTCCCTGGAAAAGACCCTGATGTTGGGAAAGATGGAGGGCACAAGAAGGGGATGACAGAGGACGAGATGGTTGGACAGTGTTCTCAAAGCTACCAGCATGAGTTTGACCAAACTGCGGGAGGCAGTGGAAGACAGGAGTGCCTGGGGTGCTCTGGTCCATGGGGTCACGAAGAGTCGGACACAACTAAACGACTAACCAACAACAATTCAACTGTCCAATATTATGTCTGTCCATTTTTGAAGTGTTCCTCCGTGTAGGAAAACCCCTGCACACAAGACACTAGATATCAGGGAGAAGGGTTAACTTATCCTCCTTGATATGCTATGCTTCAATATTCAGGGAAGTCTTGATATTGTTGTATGTTTATTGGAGGGCAAGACTCCCCTAAACTCCTAGAACTAGGTTAGAATTTAACCAAATCCCATGACTTCTGATGCAACAGGGATGCAATTGCTGAGAATGGCCCAGTCGCTAAGCAAATGAAGGTGGGGATATGTGCCATTAGCAGAGACTCTGTACTAGGCGGCAGAAGGTTGGCAGGAGACCTTCCCCAGCTCTTTGTTTGTTGGAGAGTTGTGTTGAAGAGTGCTAATGCTAGTCAGCGTAGACTAGCCTTCTCCAGCCTGCTGCTCTCCAGATATTCTGGATTACAACTCTGGTCAGCCCCAGCCAACGTGGCTGATGCTCAGGGATGATGGAAGGAATGTGGCTGGTGTACACAATACTGAGATAGATGCACCAATGGTCCTGGTTCCTGTGTGAGCTGGTTTCTACTGCCATTTAAACCAATCCAAGAGAAATAAAGTACTGAATAAATTTGTATTTCTTCTTGGGACAGGCAAGGGAGAAAGAGTGGAAGCCAGATAACCAGGGTTCCTCCAGCTCAAACCATGAAGGTTCCACCACGTACACCCAGCGTACTGTGAATTCTCAAGAACCCTATGAAATTTAACAGCACAGCAACGAAGAGGTCTGTAGTGCTTGGCCATAAATTATGAACCAGATGTTCAGCTGGAATAAATCAATGCAGCTCCACCGAAGCATCAAACTAGGCTTATTTACATCAGCTGGAGATCTGGTTCTATTCAGGCAGTTTCCTCTAGGAGGAAATCAAAATTCTGTCTTATCTCTTGCGTCTTTATAAGCTGTGAAATCCCTCTCCCCGTCTATTTCTGCAGTCGAAATTAAACCAGTATTAAAAATGTGTCGCTTGTTGCCCATTAAGTTTCCCTTAGCCAGTGGCTGCGACGTTGTGGGATATATATTCACGGACAATCTAACCGCTGTGTGGAAGAGTCAACAAGAGACACGGATTCGGTGAATTTCACAGGGCGAATAAGACAGAGAAGTTGTGTGCGGTTGGAAATAAAAAAAAGATACAGAAAGGTGCACTGGAAAGGAGCCTGAAACTTGCTCAGCCTGAGCAAATGAGTGGGTTGCAGAACACAGTTGCCCAGGCCTCTCCATCTGGACACCCAAGAGGCATTATCAGAGTTGAAGGACACATTTACACCCAGTCAAAAACGATGGGGTGCCAAGCAGGGCTAACGTGTCCTGGGTCTAGGGAAGAACAAATAGTTGGCTTCAGATCTCTAGCTCTGATTAAAGAGTGCCAGCTATCGGACTACCTCACAGAACTACTTCCAATGTAATATCACGGCAGAATGAAAACCTAAAGTAACTTGGCATCTGTTATTTATTTATTAAATGTATATCCCTCCCAAAGGAGGGATATACATCCCCACATCCCCATCCCCATGACAAAGTGATGATCCAGCAAGTGAGCCCAAAGCAGCCTAAGACAGTACAATGAACTGGATGGTTTAAAAGGTGGATTAGGCAACTTCGCGGGGGGTAAGGCCACTGATAGCTACTAAGCCATGGTGGTGGCTATGTTTGCCTTGCTTTGGTGGCCAAAAATGCTTCTGAATACTGGTTGCCGGAAACTGCAGGAGGGGAGAGCGCTGTTGCGCTCAGGTGTTGCTTGTGGGTTTCCTACAGGCACGTGTGAGAACATGCTGGATTATGTGGCCCATTGCCCTAATCCAGGAGGGACAGTTCTAATACGTTTGCAGAACGGGAAAGATCTCGACTTAAAAGGCTTGTTGAAAGAGAAAGGCCTTTGGCAGATGCTGGAAAGACAACAGAGACAGCACCTGTCTAATATTCAAGGGGAATGAATTCCAACATATAGGTGCCACAACACAAGAGGCCCAGTTCCTACATTGTGTGCAACAGTCCTCCTCACAAGATGGCATCTACAGGAGGCCCTCACTGCAGAGCACATAAGGGGTGAGGTGAGATTTCAGGTACAGTGGTATCTAGGTTTTCGAACGCAATCCGCTCCAGAAGAACGTTCAAGTTCTGAAACGTTCGAAAACCAAGGCCCGGTTTCCCGAACTGGTTGCACGAGTGCTCCTGAGATGAGATAAGCACAGACTGATTGCACACAGGCACCCAATATGCCCAAATATCACCTCCGTGTTGTGCGGGTGCTCAGGACTCAACAGCCAACAGCTAGGCCTCAGGATCCTGCACTCAGCAGAAGCCACGTAGCATGTTCGACTTCCAAGGCGTGTTCGAAAACCGAAGCATTTACTTCCGGGTTCACGGTGTTCATAAACAGAAATGTTTGTCAACAGACTTTCGAAAACCGAGGTACCACTGTATTCTGGTCTCAATTTGTATGGCTTTATGCAACAAAACCAGCACCTTGAACTTAGTTCCATAGCTAATTGGCAGCCAGTGCAATTCTTCCCACAATGGGGCAACATGTTGGCAGTCAAGCCACTGCAATCCAGGGCAGCTTCCAGGGCAGCCTCAAGGGCAGCCCCACATACAGCACATTGTAATAATCCAGGCTGGAGATTATCAGCACATAGACAACAGTGGTCAGGCTGTCCCAGTAGAGAAATGGTTACCTGGGCCTCTAGAGACGAATCCAGGAGCACCCCTAGACTATGAATCTGCTCTTCCAGGGGAAGTATGACCCCATCCAAAACAGGCCAATTATCTGGACTCCAGAACCACCCACAAAAAGCGCCTCCATTTTGTCAGGATTGAGTGTCTGTTTATTGGCCCTCATCCAGCCTACAACCAAGCCCAGGCATCAGTCCAGCTAGCAAATGGAAAGGGAAATACTTGTTGCTTGTTGGCATCCGTCTGTCTCAGGAGACTGTGGAAGACTACTAAAGGTAAAGGGACCCCTGACAGTTAAGTCCAGTCACGGTCGACTCTGGGATTGCGTACAGCTTCCAGGTCATGTGGCCAGCATGACTAAGCAGCTTCTGGTGAACCAGAGCAGTGCACGTAAACGCTGTTTACCTTCCTGCCAAAGCAGTACCTATTTATCTACTTGCACTTTGACGTGCTTTCGAACTGCTAAGTTGGCAGGAGCAGAGACTGAGCAATGGGAGCTCACCCCGTCGCAGGGATTCGAACCGCCGACCTTCTGATCAGCAAGCCCTAGGCTCTGTGGTTTAGACCACAGTGCCACCCAAGTCCCTAGGACTACTACTACTACTTATTACTAGAATATATATCCCACCCTTCCTCCCAAAGGCGCCCAAATGGTCTACCTACGTGTTCTGCAAAAACCCTATAGCTTCAGGTTTTGAGACACTTTGGTCCTAACTGGCATGCCTTTGTATCACTTGCAAGAGCCTCTCCAGACCTTGCAGAAGGTGGAAGCAGTGCCCTACGCTACCCAACTCCTCATCTAGACCATTAAATCCTGTTCATATGTAGGAATCTAGTGCCTGCACACCAGGAAAGAAAGATCACCTGTTGCTAAGCACCTACAGGCAGAGAGTATGTTGCTAAGCAGCAATAATGCAGCTTCATTTGCTGTTCTCATGCCTTCAATTCACAGACTACGCCAAAGTCCTGGGCCTTCAAATTACTAAGACACAACAAGGACAGAAGCACTGCCAGCCCATTTGCTGCTGCGTTCGTCTTCCATTTCCCCCCTTTTAAAGGCTCTAATGTCAAGACATTCGCACTGAGGATTTCACTAAAGGAGAGTTAAAAGCGTTTGAAGGCTCGGGATGGAGGCGGACACCTTCTGAGAAGGCAATACTTGAGGGAAAGCAGCAAGGATGTGCACTCTTCTAAATTGCATCCCCTCTAAATTGTAGCCCCCTTTCCCCAGTCATTCAGCAGGCACAGAGAAAAACATATATAATTTGTTAAGATTGGCAGAGGTCCTCACTACCTTTGAATTTATAAGATCCAGCTTAGGATAACTGTAACGTTAAGGAGCCAAGATCTTCACAGCACAACACTATAGAGTTTGCAGGAAAAGCGGGGGAAGAGAGGGAAAGAGAAAGAAAAGCTTGAACTTCTCCAATCAGATAATATTTACAACCTACAGGAAAGGGAGCGCCAAAACATTTCAGGGACTGCAGGACAGTTTTTGAACCGAGCCAAGAGGAAAGCATCAGATTCAAGTTCAAAGAACACATTATAGCAATGAGAAGGAAGGCTTTTGGCCTCCTCTGGATGATTTGAAAACGATTACCATAGCAATTATCCGAGCTAGCCACATTTGCAACGTCCTTGGCAAATTAAGCTCCGGGTCTCGAGTGTAAAATGATCATGGGAAAGGCTGAATGAATCAAGCAAAGTGTAAGTAATAGAAACATGTAAATGTTTTACACTGGCAGCGTGCCTTGGTACATCCGTCTTATTAATGTCCCTGACTGGCAAAAGAAAAGGCTCGCTTTAGGCACTGGAACACTTTTTCCAGCAAATCTGAAACAGCACAAGAAGACGACGTTTGATTTTCCAGGGGTACAGGAGACATGCTCTCTCAAATCGCAAGAGCACCAGACACTTCCTTTCCCTTCAAATGCCATGCGCTGTAGAATTAATCATCTTTTGACATGGTTATACCATTGCTATTATCCTCCTGGTGCACACGGTTGCATGTGTGCCCTGCACTACCACAACGAAAGACCTGCTCAGCTTCTTAACGGCATCCTACTGCAAAAGAGTAATGGTAGGGGCTTTGCCCTGCCGGACTTAAAGTTGTATTATGAAGCCGCAGCGTTCTGCTGGCTAAAAGACTGGCTACTTCTTGAAGACACTGATGTGTTGGATTTGGAAGGGTTTAATAATGTTTTTGGATGGCATGCATATTTATGGTATGACAAAGTTAAAGCAAATAAGGCCTTTAAGAACCATATTGTCAGAAAATCATTGTTTAATGTCTGGACAAAATATAAAGACTTGCTGGAAAATAAAACACCAAGGTGGCTTTCACCTTTGGAAGCTAAGGCCTGAAAAGACCCAATATGGAGGCTAAATGGCCAAAATATTGGGAAATACTAGAAAAAGATGGAGACAATTGGAAACTGCAGAGTTTGGAGAAAATGAAGGACAAAGTGCGAGATTGGTTACATTACGCTCAGATTAAAGAAGTTTTTAAAAATGATAAGAAACTAGGGTTCCAGGTGGAGAAATCGAAATTAGAAACAGAATTGTTAGAACCAAAGACTAAGGTACTTTCAAGGATGTATAACTTGCTGTTGGAATGGAATACACAAGATGAAATGGTTAAATCGGCTATGATAAGGTGGGCCCAGGACATTGGGTATAATATTATGTTTGAGGACTGGGAAAAGTTGTGGAGTAATGGATTGAAATTTACTGCATGTAACGCTCTGAAAGAAAATGTAATGAAAATGATTTATAGATGGTATATGACCCCAGTTAAACTTGCAAAAATTTACCACCTGTCTGATAATAAGTGTTGGAAATGTAAAGAGTGTGAGGGAACGTTCTTCCACCTCTGGTGGACCTGCCCTAAAGTGAAGGCGTTCTGGGAAATGATTTATAATGAATTGAAAAAGGTATTTAAATATACCTTCACCAAGAAACCAGAGGCTTTCCTTCTGGGTATTGTCAGCCAAGGGGTGGCAAAGAAGGACCAGACATTTTGTATGTATGCAACAACAGCAGCAAGGATACTTCTTGCAAAACATTGGAAAACTCAAGATTTACCCACACTGGAAGAATGGCAGATGCAACTGATAGACTACATGGAACTGGCTGAAATGACTGGCAGAATCCGTGACCTGGGA